TCATACAAATCTCCTCAGAAACACGTAGGAATTTTCCGAAAAGTTTTGTTTTCCCCTTCTTTTGAAATTTTTTTAAATTACCTAACAATTTAATTTAGAACTTGCATTCTTCTCCATAGAAATCCGTCCAAATTCATCTAACAATTTCTAAGGATTTCATGTCAGAATAATTCTGGAAATCTGCGCAGAACTTCCCTTCTAAAACTGTGTGGGAATCCTTCTCAATATTTGTTTGAAATCAACACTTTGAATTCTTTTAAATTTTACTATAAATTCCATGGTTTTCCCGTTAGATTCTATAGATTGTTATGTAATGTTTTACAACCCTTATAATGCTTCCAAGTCTCAGAGCGTGACAATTATGACTCCACGACTCATAAGTAGGTTTTTTTTTCAAATCTGTGATCTTGAAATTTGTTAAAAATCTCACATTTTGATTATTTTTACTCCAAATCTTGCATGACGAAGATTGTTATTAATCAAAAATTTAAAATAAAAGTTCTAGTTTCAGACTCTACACAAATTTTAAAGCTCCAGAATCTTGGGAATCTTCTTCAATCACTTTTTTTTATCTTTTCAGTAAATTCCTTTCAGCACGTTCTTAAAAATGCGTTCAATTTCATTTTTTTTTTTAATATTAACAACCGGGAATTTTTTAAGATTTGAACCGGGAAAACCGGGAAAAACCCGGGAATTTCAAAATGAAAATTCACTGGTCACCCTGGAATTTGCTTGAACACCATATTGGTTTGATGGTTCCCAGTTCGTCTTCCTCCTCTTGAGCCGCTAACGTTGTAATAAGAATGAAGGTGAATGCTTGTCATCCATATATTAGAGAAATTGAGAATGTAAACACAATCATAAAAGTCATAACTTTCAGGGTTGCCAAATTCATGGAATATTGAAACCTTGATAGGCATATTTGGATTAACCTTGACAGGCACGTTCGACACAGCGCTTGGCACAGCTTTCGGCACAACTCAATCACTCGGCACGAATTAAGGTGTGCAGAGTTGAATACCCCTAGGCTTCAACACAGTGTAGATGAATCACCGACAAACCGACATGAATGATCATACAAATTACAAAGAAATTTCTGATCATAACACAAAACATCTGCCGCGTGTGCGCGGAAAATATCGATCTGTGTTTAAAAATCAACACGACACCACATACAAACAGACATAACTCTCGCAAGTTGTTTATCGAACAAGCATTTAACGAACAATTTAAAAGTTTCGTAGTTGATAGTACCACCACCTGTGGCGCACACAGTCAATTCCCTTGCGTTTGACGTTTACACACTACCGCCATCTGTTCAGCGTAGTGCTCACCACAGTGTACTCAACAGATGGCGGTAATGTTTTAGCGTCGATTTTTTACAGTGAGATCCTCAAAACCATCCCCACCAAGATGAAGTTTAATATTGATATTGACAACAACACAGACGATAATAAACATCCAGCCACGAATGTTAACTTCGATGCTCAGAGGTTGTCTTGATCAAGATAATGTGTGAAATTCAAATTCATGGAGGTAGTTGGTCTATCTGTTAAGGTTGTCTTCATTTTCAGCTAAGTTGAGTGTAGAATGAATGATTTTATCAGCACTAACTGTTACATACTGACCTTTTAACACTCTGATTTAGATCTGTCTAATACTGAGTAAATCATTGTGATAAAACATGATTTTTTTCCTGCACAGATAGAAATAGCCTTATACTTTTTGACAAATTTCTATTGCTGATTATTCATAAAATGTATAAGTCAACTAATAATCAGACGCCTTGCAAAAAGTTAATGAAGATCATGTGTCAAACGGGTCACTCTCAGTGTGCCGACAGTGCCGAGAGTGTCATCAGACTGATTTTTTTTTGTTTGTATAATTATATGTTTGGCAACCCGGTTAATTTGACAGTTTACATGTTTTGTTTTGAAGAAACAAAACAACAAGCAGTGTAATCATATCTCAGATCCTAACTTTCGTGACTCTCGGTTCGTTGCTCCCAAATTCTATCGAAAAAGGACTACACTGAACCTAATAAGCAACGGCCTCAGTCACCGAATCGAAGCTTCGAACGAGAACGTTCTCCGGGGGAGGCACTTCCAATTTCCGACAGGACAATAACCTCTACTGGATTGGAGTATGATGAGGACTCGGATGAACCACAGGTGACAGTGGTAAGTAGACGAAGCGAGCGTGCATCATCAGAGGAAACTGGTCCAGATGCTCTTCAGATTCTGGTGAACGCTTCCGGGAGGAGTTTCCCGAAAGCCATCGACTCAGTCAAAGATGCGTCGCCAGCGTTCTAGTGAGAGTTTCAACCGGAATCAGACTTGGAGGTGGGGTTTAATATGTCCACACGGTTAGATAGTCCAACAATCGGACAAAAGGAGAGAAGTATGATGTAGGGTTACGGTATGTAATGTGGGTCTAGTCCTTTCATTCGGCCTATCACGCAAATAAATAATTAATTAAGGAATATTACACAAAAAATAAGGAAAATATTGATCACTGATGGTTGATAAATGTGTACCACACACAAATCAATTTATATCACAACATTTCAATACATTTTCAGCTCTCGTAAGTAATAAAACTGGTTGAGAATATCACAATGTTCGGAGTTTTTAGCCGCCATGACTTATAAGGTTAAGATGGGAAGGTTGACTGACGATCATCAAATGGCCTGATTATGGCATTTATTGATTGGAATTACCTGATAATACACACTAGACGTAAAACTTACAGTTGCTGTTTGAATATTTTATGTTTATTTTAATTGTTTAACAACGTTTTCACAAGTAAAACATGGACCCAACTTTAGGGACACATTTCTTTTCTATGTTCCTAACTATGGCCCATGAAATTCATTTGACAGCATATAGCAATAAGAGTAACGTCAACAATGTTGTTTTGCATTTGGATGATAAGGAACGAACAGGAAGGGAGATTTTTTCTGCCAAACCTGTATAATGAACATCACAATGTTCTGATTTAGATATTCTGCGGTCAAAAGACGATAAGCGAAATTTTTAATTTTTAAATTGAGTGATTTAATGTAGTTTTCGTAAAATTTTCTCTAAGAAATGTTTTGAGGAATGAAGAGCATTAAGTTAACAGTGATAGTGATAAAAAAAAATACATCAGAAAACGTTACCAAGAGCGTTTTTTTGAGGATCAAACAAGATAGGACGAAGTTGCATCCATAAATAGACCCAATTTGGGGACAATAGACCCATATTACATACATTTCCCTCGTGAGTTATTGTCTTAAAAAAAGTAAGTTTTTCAACTTTTCGTGGTTTCTGATAGCAAACGACATGATAAGCATATCTAAGCATACCATTTAGCAGTAGAATATCGTTTGCAGGTAAATTCATTGATGAGTTATGATTAAAAACGTAATCGATGGCTGCATATTAGACCGAGGTTAGGGACGTATACCCTATCTGGCAAAAATCTGAGGCGCTGTCGATGGCAAACACCGGTGAAGATTCTACCTCCGAACAGGGTTCGAGTGATCATCGAAGGTGAATTAATCGATGTCAGTTACGATAAGGAACGAATCAAGGAAGTGAATGTCGGTTAGCTGATCAACGAAGTGGTGAAGCGTTACGGAATCAAACATGGTAAATTACCACTGATAAAACTACTACACCCAGATGGTAGCCTTTGTATGGACACCGATCCCCTTACGACCTTCTGTGCGGCTCGGATTCCATAATCAATTAGTACCTCATAGAGTTCGAAAAACTGCGTTCGATCAGGTCTACGAGGATTATTGCAAACATCGCGATGTTGAAATGCTTACCGGACTGCTCCAATCACTGGGCACCATGAAAAACACCGGTCACTTTATACTTCGCCGCCAAGCCTATAAATATTCTATTTCAACCGCTGGGTTACCAGGGTCGTGTCTGAAAACTTAACCTATCCTATCCACCTTCAAGCCCAATAACTGACCAATCAACATCTTACAATTTCACTTAACCTCCTTCGGCTGTGATTTCAGTTCCGACACGAATATCCCCCTCCCAAAATCGATCTACCAACGCGTGGAATTAACCCATGTAAAACGATTACGGATATTGTCGCTACCGTTAACGAGAAGCACATAGGATGCAAAAGTGGATGACCCTTGCTGTTGCTGGCGCTGGTATTTATCACCACACTTTAACAACTCTTGCAGGGAATTAGATGAAGAACTGCAGGAGAGATCTGAGCAAAGTCCTGTAGGTTTGACTTCTAATCCAGAATCTGATCGTCTAGTCCGATGAATTTATTGAATTCATCTCCTGAAGCGACGATCAGCGACAAAGTGCAAAACCTTAGCTACTATTAGAAAATCGTCAGCACAAAACAGTGATGCCATTTTATATTATATTCTGGGTAATTCTTGTCAATGTGTGCCCTAACGTGTCGATCAATGTACCGTGATGTGTTTCGGCACAGTGTGCAGAGATGATTACCCCTTGATTAATTGATTATGCGCAATGTCGACATAATCAATTCGGACCTTACTTGAGAGTCAAATAGATCTCTTTAATGCTTATTGAAGCTTATTTAACTATAATTGTTCAATCTGTAATAGTTTTGTATCGTTAATAGTCCCTATACGCCTTCGCTATGTAAACTCCAAAACACTTTTTCTCGAAAAACCCCAGACGAAATATTTTATAACCTTCACAGATTTGATAGTTAGGATCAATACTAACTTCCTAAGGTACATGAAATTGTTGCATTTATAAATGCATGTCATGTTATGTACCGGGATAAATTTAATTTTTATTAAATAGATATCACCAAATTTTGAACTGGGTGGCTCAATTTGTTCCAACAGCAGTGTTATAAAACCGCTGGTAACGCTTAGTAAAGAACCAAGCAAATCTCCAAAAGAACGACGGTTATTAATTTTTAACTCCCCCCATGGTTACTCTGCTACCACGGTTAGGATAAAAAAGATAATAATAAAAAAAAACATCCCATTCTCTTCCCAGATCACATTCGATGACCGCTCTTTCCGACCATTCATCATCGGTGGACCCCTGGACAACAAGTACATCTTCGAGCAGCTGCACTTCCACTGGGGCGTCGAAGATGACTCCGGCTGCGAACACATCCTCGAGGGCAATACCTACTCGATGGAGGCCCATGCCGTGCACTACAATGCCAAGTACGGCAGCTTCACCGAGGCGGTCGACAAGCCGGACGGTTTGGCGGTGACGGGTTTCTTCGTGCACGCCTTCGGCGATGTCGACTGTCCGGAGTTTGACAAAATCGTCAACGGTATCAAGTACATCACGAAGCCCAACTCGGAGTCGAAGATCGATGCTGGTTTGTGTTCTATAGTTAGAGTTTAGTTAACGTCAATATGCTTACTAGATCTGTTTCTATGTTTCCATTTATAGATTGCCTCTCTTGGATGGGTCTACAAGACTTAAGCCGTCATTATTATACTTACAAGGTACGTTACGTTCATTGATCATCTCTTGCAGTCTAAATAAAACGTACATGTCTTTCTTGCCCCGACAGGGTTCGCTAACGACTCCTCCGTTTTACGAGAGCGTCACGTGGATCGTGTACAAAACCCCGGTTTACGTATCAAGTCGCCAGATCGATTCCTTCCGGCAGCTTCAGTCCTGCCCGAAGGATTCCAACAAGAAGATTGTGAACAACTACCGCGAAGTGCAGGTACCCAAGGTACATCCGGAAGTAGTCTTCGTCCGGAACAGCAACCAGCGGCTGCGATCAAAGCTGTGAGCACGTGGTGCACATGAGCATGAACTGAATATTGACGAACTTGCCTTTCTTGTACTGTAGTTTTAAGTAGCCTTAGACGGGTTTTGTTGATTAAGAATTGTAAATTGTTGATGAATAAACTTTTTTTATAAGTTAAACTTTGCACCGTTTCGTTATTGACTTCACGCCGCCATCTATTTCCATTCATTCGATGGGTCGTAAAAATATTCGGCTTATCGGTTTTAAAACCTAGATATTAAATAATGGAATCCAGACAAAAAAAAATTAGGCAATTCTCTATCAGACCCACCGATAAGAGCTCGGCAAATAAATTCTTACGTGACACCTATATCCACCCGGAACGTGACCATTTTATCTTATCGTTTGCCGCAGTAAATTTGGTATCTTTCAAGTTCCTAATCGTCCGAACGTATTTCCGCAGCATTTTTATCGTGTTTAAGACGGGAGAGGCCCAAGCTTACCATGGATTTTAGCCACTATTTTTGTAACAAATTGATGAATTTTAATATTTATTCACAGCTAGATAAGATAACTAAGGAGTTTTCTAAAGATCGGTACTTGATTAGCTGGCGAATGTAAATGTCATTTGCGCACTGACATTGAAGCGAATGATATTGATATTCTAACTGTGTGGACTGATACTGACTTCAGGTGGCTATTGAAATTCAGCATTTTTTAGATATTGATATTGTCGTAGGATTATGAGATTGTTTTAGTTGCTCAATTCAATAAAAAATACAAAATAAATGATATTTGAATACAGTTCCAAAATCATCAAAGATTCAATTCAACATTCAAAGTTTCCAATTCAGTTCCTATCCCATTCAAAATTAAGTTCCAAACATGTACACTCATCTTTCGGTAACTGAATAATGTTTATTTAAAAAAAAACTGGAGTGGCAATTAGCTATTTAAAATGCTTTTTATATAACAAACTGCTTTAAAGTAGGAACTTCAAAGTGGGCCTGACCCCATATTATATTTTAATGTTGCAGAATTATGATAAACTGAACCTCACTTGAGTTTGTCTTTGATGGCTGTGTTCAAATAAAATTTTTTCAAAAAATAGGCGTCTTATTTGAATTATTTTTTAGTCAATTTAATTGATTCATAGTAACATATGGTAATCAATACGTTACAAGCCAATACAATACATTTATCTAGTCTCGATTTCACAAGTTACGACGGCAGTCCCCAATCGGCAAATGAAATAAAAGTTGAATACAAACGCAAAATGCCAGTAATGACGTAAAAACTTTGAAAAATAAGATGAACTTTTCAAAATTTCGAAAGAATGAATCATTATGCCAAACGCACACTTACATCCCTGGTCACCGCATTGTGAACTTAACTGTGCATTGTGCATCATCCAATAGGTCTAGGTCCATCAGAATAACTTTGCCAAAAATAGCAATCTTCTATCTAGTTAGCTATCAAGTTAAAGCGCCATCTGGTGTGAAAATTCAGAACTGAGCTGTCCACTCTACAATTGGTCTTGTTCATTTGAACAAGCTGAGAGTAACAACCTTCTATCTAGTCGGGATGTCGACTTAAGCAAGCCATTTGAATCACCATTAAAAATAATGGCACTAGTGGTGAGTGATTTTTTAACTGATGGCCAGGCATGGAAAATCATTTACATTCATTTCATGCAATCATTTACATTCATTTGCCTCTAACTTTTTTCATCAACAGCATTCCGTAAAATGATGTATAAAGCTTTAGTAGGTTTTGTTGTTAGCTATAACTTTTGCCCATAACTCAAATCTGTATCTCTTATGCATCACGAATTAGAGAGGGCAGAACTTGTTACTGTTTTTCAGTGAATGTAAAATACATTCACTGAAAAACAGTAGTGTCTTCTGTTCGCTCTGGTTCGTCATACATAAGAGATACGGATTTAAGTTGCTGACAAAAGTTGTAGCTAATAACACCATTTTAACACCAGCTATACACCATTTTGCGGTATTCTGTTGATGAAAAAAGTTAGGGGCAAATGAATGTAAATGAATGCACGAAATGAATGCAAATGATTTTCCATGCCTGCTGATGGCACACTATGCGATAGGCAAACTTCTATTTAGCCGTGCTGTCGAGTTAAAACAAGTAATAAGATGTCAAATTGCACACTAGCGTCACCTAGTGAGTTAATTCTGAACTGAGCTGTCCACTGTCCAGCTGTAGGTCTTATTCACCTGAACAACTTTGTCCAAGACCGCTACCTGCTATGTAGTCGAAGGAGCAAGTTAAGGCAAACAATTATAGCTTAAATAGCATACTAGCTCTACCTGGTGAGCAAAGTTTTAGGCAACGATGGATCCACCTCAGATCAGGAAATGAGAAAAGTAAACTTCCAACTTCATTCAGTTTTTCGACTTTCCTCTATAACACTGAGGACGGCTGTTCGGATGGCCTCTTCAATGTGCAAAAAACTGAGGAAACCGCACCTCTTTGAGAAACTTTTTGGCTTAATTGAATCCATTGATGCGATGAGTCAAGGAATGCATGCTGCTTATTTGGTTTTTCCAGCTACCGTCGCTGGACTAACTGGTTAGGTACGTCCTTTTGGATTCCAGAGTCCTTGGTTCGAATACCGGTTGTAACTTTTTTTTGTCTTGCTACTTTTCTACTACATTCGTCACCGGGAGCAAATTCAAAAGCTTCTCATTCAAAGAGCACATTGAGGAAAGTAGCTTTTATCTAAGTGCACCACTCTTTCTCCGTTTCGTTTTGTGTTGGCTCAATGTGAATGTGGTTTCAGAAAGCTGTGCAATCATTCTACTCAATGTAATAGATCAGTGCACGAAGATTTGTTGCACTCCTCTCTCACCCGTAAATTTTGACAGTTTTGGGTGGTTTGTTTTGGCCCCCATTCGTTGCCATCTCTTTTACTCAGAGACAAAATGATAGGAACCAAAAAGTGAGGTTAGGGACCGTGCACTATAAGCTGTAAAGTTTGCTCTTTGCGCTCAATGTGTGAGGAAATAACAAGCCTGATATTAAGTGTGATGTGCACCATCTAATAAGATTTATTCACTTGAACAACTTTGCCGAAAACAGAAACCTTGTATCAAGCCAAGATGTCAAGTTAAGCAAGTCATTTGAAACCAATGGCAGATTAGTGCCACCTGGCGGATGCATTTTGAACTGTCCTGTTAACCATTTCAAAATCGTAGAAAGTGTGGTTACTCACTGAGTGAGTCAAATTTTCCTCGATTCTTCCGAGGGGGGCGACTCTATCTACGATGCAGGGAAAATTGTGTTCTGCTGTGCTTTGCTGCGCAAATGCTGAGTAGATAGAAAGAAGATTGATGACGATTCTGGAGATTTCCTGCAAACATATTATGCGCCATGCAAGTAGATGCAAGAAATAAAAGAAGATTTTTCGATGATTGATTCGCTAGTGTGAGATTTGTTGAGCATCTAGAATTGAGATTTAGATGTGTCGCCCCCCTCGGATTCTTCTAAAAAATCTGCTCGAATTTGACGAAATTGGCGAAAACAAATTTTCCACGAGTATACTCATCGACTTAAAAGACGTTAATTTTTCCTAGATTTCCCTCATACTCAAGCAGATTTTTGAGGAAAATGGTTGGCAAAGTTAAATTTACTTTGGTACAATGTCCAAAAATACAAACTATTAAAATTTTTTTGAAAACTTATTGGCCGTCATCAACCAAGCACGTGTTTGCTTAGTATAAATAACTATCAAGAGACGAGCCCATAGCGAGGTTATAAAAGAGCGTATTGTACGTTTTGTTTCAGTTCGGCTGTAAATGTGGCGGTTTTAGTCTTATAGTACGTTCAGACTACAGAGTTATAACATGTTATAGCGCTATATCTTGATGGTGGTTTCTGTGTTGCAATTATTTGACAACCGTTATAACATGTTATAACCATAGAGGTAACTCTAAGACCACTGGGTCCCGAAGAAAATCATTATTATTTTTGGCTCACTCAGTACCAGAACAACGGTCCCAAGCAGTCCCAAGCTATTTCACTCACCCCTGCATGTTCTGCATGAATCCACACACCCCTGATGTTATCTGTCAAACTTTCATAGCGAATCAAAACAAACATAGTGTAGTAATAGAATTTCAACTAGAATAGGGTACGTTAATCGTTTGCTTGGGACCAATAGGCTACTAAAGTGGTGAGCCAATTTAAAATCGTTAGTTTCGTATTGATTGTTGTTATAACTGCTCAGTCTGGCCAGCGTTTTAGAGTTACCTCTAATACCGATAAACTGTTGCGTGGGTCAGTCCCATGCAAAACATGGCCAACCACAAGTGAGCTTTCATCACCGATAAACCGACGTGGCTGACTGTATTGATATTCCAAACAAACCAGGTGGAATATTCTCGCCTATTCGACCGTGAAAGAGGACACTAAAATTGAAAGTTTTTCTTCCGACAGTTTCATCTTAAGGCCTGTATAGAGATCGAAGCGAAGCGAAAATCTCATACAAAATACTGCATTTTTCACCTGCGTGAAAAACGCAATTGGCAAATTTTTCACTTCGCTTTGAACTGTAAACAGATACGATCCAGCGAAATCTAATGTTGTGGATCGCATCTTTTTCGCTTACGTTTATTTTTTTTTTCGCGCATGCAGCGGTCGCGAAAAGAGCAGCAGCTAAGCGAAAAGTTGACGTTTCGGAAGAGCGTATCTGTCAGATTTTCACTTCACCGGAGGTGTAAACTGATCGATTTCGTTTCACATGAACTGTAAACTGCGAAAAAGGGAAACTGGAAAATGTTCCACAAACATTTTTTCACAACCTTTTTCGCTAGCGAAATTTCATGATTTTTCGCGTGCTTCTAATTTCGTTTCGCTTCGATCTGTATACTAGGCTTTAAGCCTAGTATACAGATCGGCGCGAAACGAAAATTGAAGCACGCGAAAAAAAAAATGTGAAAAAATTTTTGTGGAACATTTTCCAGTTTCCTTTTTTTGCAGTGTGAAACGAAATCGGTCAGTTTACACCTCCGGTGAAGTGAAAATCTGACAGATACGCTCTTTCTCGAAACGTCAACTTTTCGCTTAAGGCCTGTATAGAGATCGAAGCGAAGCGAAAATCTCATACAAAATACTACATTTTTCACCTGCGCGAAAAACGCAATTGGCAAATATTTCGCTTCGCTTTGAACTGTAAACAGATGCGATCCAGCGAAATCTTATTTTGTGGATCGTATCTTTTTCGCTTACGTTCATTTTTTTTTCGCGCATGCAGCGCTAGCGAAAAGAGCAGCAGGTAAGCGAAAAGTTGACGTTTCGAGAAAGAGCGTATCTGTCAGATTTTCACTTCACCGGAGGTGTAAACTGACCGATTTCGTTTCACATGAACTGTAAACTGCGAAAAAAGGAAACTGGAAAATGTTCCACAAACATTTTTTTACAACCTTTTTCGCTAGCGAAATTTCATGATTTTTCGCGTGCTTCAATTTTCGTTTCGCTTCGATCTGTATACTAGGCTTTACCTGCTGCTCTTTTCGCTAGCGCTGCATGCGCGAAAAAAAATGAACGTAAGCGAAAAAGATACGATCCACAAAATAAGATTTCGCTGGATCGTATCTGTTTACAGTTCAAAGCGAAGCAAAATATTTGCCAATTGCGTTTTTCACGCAGGTGAAAAATGTAGTATTTTGTATGAGATTTTCGCTTCGCTTCGATCTCTAAACAGGCCTTTACACAGCAAAAAAAATGTAATATCGATCAATGTAATTCAAGCTGATGTATGAAATCTAGATAAACATTTCAAAACGTCCTATCTGCATCACGCAGAAAAACACTGAGGCGAAAATTAACAAAATATTTTGTTGTTATTTAATACGACATTTCTATTTGTTTCAGTTCACTAAAAAGATTCAAATGAATGCAGAAGTTCATTTAAATCAATCCAATAAGATTGTTTAAAACTGTTTTCATTGTTTTAACTAAATAATTTTCAAGTGCACGTTCAAACTGTCAGCCTGAATCGACATCGATGCTATTTATAGTTAAAAAGTTCATCCTTATGGAAAAGCTGCTTTCAAACTTTGATCTTCAAAAGTAAGTTTTAGTTTTAAAAATAATGTCGATTAATAAACTTTCTCGACAAGCAATCTATTAACTTGCATTTGAAATTTCAGCGCTGACGTGCGATAGGGTGAAATTAGGCTACACTGTTGATCATCGACGGATTCGTTCTTTGGCACTGCGTATGCACCCCCCTCAGTACCCCCTGTGCCTCACCGAAGTTCGAGGAACAGAATCTAGCCAACTTCAACCTTCGTCTGGTTCCGGAGATTCAACAGAACCATCCCTTGTTGAAGCAGTATCGTCACCATCAGCAGCTCAGTGGCAGCCGAGGTAGCAGCAGAATCGCTTCATAATTACCACCAACAATAACAAAGGACACACAAGGACAACATGTTCTACAACTCATTCACGCAACAAATGGTGCAACGCAGGCTAATTGAGTTCTTTAATTTTGAAAAATATATCGGATTTTTATATTATCTGAAAGAGCTTCGTTTTCTGAGCACAGCGATATTTTTTTCGAACCCACACACTTTCATCTCGATTTTTAAATCAAGATTTAAAGCAAAATAATAACTTCACTGTTTGACACTAAACTGACAAACTGACAGCTCGCTCCCATCCAAAGTGACACCGAGGGGCGCTAATAAGGTGATTTTTGCAAATGTAATCGTACTCATTTAAAATAGTTCCAGTGTACCAAAATTGATGAAATTTTGGGTTTGTGTTCCATTTTTAATGAAGATTACGAAGATGCATTTACCTCAATACCCGAGTCAATTGATAAATGAATAAATAAATAAACAGTAGCTCAGTAAATAACTAGTTTGAAACCAGGATTGAAAAATATTGGTTCATGTTTCAAAAAAGACTAGCTAACCTAACCTGGGGATTTAAATAAATTTGATTCTGAAACAATAAAAATTACGTTTTAAGACAACTAACAACGTTAATTACTTCAAATAATGCTTCAAGTTGATGCAAGCAAACATTTTTTTGAAGCAATAAAAACGGATGTTCCATTCAATAAACATTGAAGTATTATTTCAACTAAATGTTTTGTTGAATTACTCCATTAATTTTATTGATACAAATTGTTAAAAATGAAACATATTTTGTTTGGATGAACTATGTTTTTTTTTCTGCGTGATTGATCGATTCTCTTCATCGACAATCTCTTTCGTTAATAACTCAGTTGCAAAAGCTCCCCCTGTTGTATTTAACGTTGAGGACGCTAGATGAGAACCTCTTTTATCAAACTATGTGGTGAAAATTGCATATCAATGATTATCCAAAAAGAAAGTCGATGAAGAGAATCGATCAAAGCAGATAGGACCTTTTGAAATGTTCATTGAGAAATAATGATGTAATAGCAAAAAGCAGATACAATATTACATCAATGGATGTAATTTTGTTCGCAAAATCGATGTACATCGTACAACGTTATATTACACAACCGATGGATTGACCTGGTTGCAGCAGTTTGGATGTAATATTCAACTTTTTTTTTTTCTGTGTAGTATACACACAAAAAATAATCGTTAATAAATTTAAAAAAAAAACATTGGTAAAATTAAAAGTTAGCGTTGGTTCTTTTTGGTAGAAAGTATTTAGCATTCAAAACTAAAGTCCCCTAACTGTCAATTCAAAAGTAGCTCTCTTTCTACTTTTAAAAGTTGAAACTTTCAAATCGAATTGTAGAACTGTCAAACCAAAGATGAATACTAAGATGAAACCAAAGATGAATACTAAGATGAAACTGTCGGAAGAAAAACTTTCTATTTTAGTGTCTTCTTTCACAGTCCCTTTCATCCAATGAGAACCCCCCGTATTCAAGGTAATTTTGTGGTTTTGCTGCCCCCTCGGAAGAGATGAAATTTTGCGCTCATTTTTATCAAAACAATCACACCAAAATCAGAGATGTCCCATTTTTTAATTACTCGATTAACAACTAATCGATTATTTTTTGTTCGCTGTGCTGCCATTTTTCCACCAATGAGAGTGCAGCACATGTTTGAAACGATCGGTGATGATCCTGTGGAGATGTTAATGCTTATATCGGCATGATCTAACCGATTATAAATAGTTTACTTTTCGGTTCGTTAATCGATTAATACCCCGTTCACATTACAGCGTATATCACGTGATATACGCTGTCTTGCAATGAGCACTCATACATCTAGTTTTCACTGGAAATCCTATGTATGAGTGCTCATTGCAAGACAGCCTATATTACGTGATATAGGCTGTAATGTGAACGGGGCATAAACGATTATTCGATGAATGTGAAACGTCATTTCAAATATAAGGCCGTTCATAAATAATGATACAATTTGAAAGGGACCGGGGCTAATCACAAATTACGTCTCCATGGTAACTGAAATAAACACGAGTGTTCACCGGTTGGTCAAATTGAAAGCCTATAGTTTTTAAATTGACGTATAACAAATTTTAATTCAAATTATAAGCATTTTAATCGCAATTATATACGTTTTTATCTTAAATGTGAATTAGTTTTAAATCAATTACTTTTATTTTTTAAAAGAATTAACCAGGGAAATTCCTTTTATTCTAATTTATTTTTTTATAATAATTATATTGTCCATTTCAAAGCAGCAGAAGTGACGCTCCCGATGCTTTTACAATATGAATTGTATTATTTTACAGATTGTTGATCAAAGCTGGAATAATTTGCTCCTGACGGACTCGGTGTGGCGGTGTGGGGGTACTTGAATGAAAGTGGCATCTTGATGGGGGTGAGAGTCGAGGTGGGAGTAACCTTCCTTTCCGGCAAGACTGAGGCTGCTGAAAATTAAAACATCTCAATTAGAACAATCGGAAATTCATTGAAAATTATACCAAATTACCGTCAATTCCAGCACATGAATTGTTTCTTTTCCCGAGAGCGCCATCATTGCCGCCATGTTATGATAGAGTTTAAGATTGCTTCCCTCCGTTGGCTGCTTTGACGATCACCTGCAATCCGATGAAAATGAATTAGAGGTGCCGTACCACTTTTTGGGAACCGATTCCAGTTCGAAAAAAATACCGACGGAAGAGTAATGTGGAAACGTAGAAGACACGGTTTATTTTTCACGCTTTTATATTTAGCGGCAAACGAAGGTTAAGTGATGCCAAAATCTTCGCAATGACGAGGAAGTTTTGAAAGATCTGCGACTTTTATTTAAAAAAATAAACTTTTGAAATTACAAGTTGAAATTGAAAGAAACACTGTTAATCCGAAAAAAATGTTTTGATTTTGAATATTTTCGTTGTTAAAACTACAAAATTGGAGAAACTTTTAAATTGAAGTTTCGTTATTTTTATAGGAACAATTTTTGTTCTTTGTGTGTACATCTTTGGATTAGCGCTCGGATTAGCGGGGGGATACTGTACCTTGCAATGAAATTACCCGAGTATTGCGTGCCCCTCGTTGATGACAGTGAATTTTGACGTTTAGAAGTTTTAACCCAAAAAAATAGGGTGCCCCATCCGATCGTGCGTTCAGCTTTGATCGTTTCGGCTGCGCGACACACACCGAAGAGTGAGCGAGCGAGCGCGAGTGCGGTTGATGGATGATGATGATATTTCGCTCGTTCGTGCCGTGAATTTTTTGTGTGTAGTGTGTGTCAAGAGGAAAGAATATACTTTCTTGTCAGTCCCGCAGAAATTCGGAAAATTTGCCTACTTTTCGGACGTTTCGTGGCCATTCCGGGTATTCGCTATGTAGCACAGGTGCCGTCGGTAACGCAAGTGAAAAAAATCCGTCCGTAGTCGTGCGATCCGGGGCGGAAAAGTGGAGTTCTTTTTTGTTCGATGGTGAATTCTTTTGTTGTTGGAGCGCCACCACCATCAGCAACAGCAGCAGCAGCAGAAGAAGTTAGTAGTGGAAGAAGATTCGTGTTTCGAAGGAAGAGGAGGAGAAGCCAGCAGAAGAAGACGTGTCGTCTCGTAGGTTGTCGTCGTACAGTGCAAACGGATTATTGTTTTCCAGGGCCAGCGGTGTTTGGGAATCGGGTCCTGTCCGGTGGGTCATATGTCTGTGGGTCCCCGGCTAGCTGCTGGCAGTCGCTGCTTGCAGATCCGGGCAGGCAAAGTACGGGTTTGGGCTGGGCCAGTGCCAAGTCAAAACATTGCACCATCTAGCTAGAGAGATAGAGAAGAAGAAGCAGTCGCTGCTGGTGGAGTAGGATATTTTGTACGGACGGAACGGACATTGGACTCAGAATGGCCACCTTGATGGACGAAGATCGCCGCAGAAGGTAAACTACGAGGGCGGATTTGGGGGAGACGGTGAATAACAACTTCCTCTGTTTGGTGCTTTAAATTCCAGGCTGCTGGCGTTGGAGGAGAAGATACGTGATCCGAGTTACATTGCCAATCTGGATTGCCTGCTGGATACGGTGACGGCGCTGGTGGCGGACTGTGATCATGACAATGTGAAAATAATCAAAAATATTGAAACCTACATAAAACGATGTAAGTAGAATGATCCTAATGCACACTCAAATTTGGCAGATCGTGATTTTGTTTGCCAAATGACTAATCAATCTCGTCGGGCGACGTGAGCTCAATGACGTTCGATTTCGAGCACAGCAAATGATTTCATCTTTAAGTTTTTTGAGAGATGATGATGTGCTAGCTAGCATTTACTTCAGCAGCGAGTATTATTATTTGAAAATTGTAAATTGGCAGCTGGTGGATAAATGGATACACATACATATTAGACTTGTATCACTGTTGCTTGGAAGACTCTTCAAGATATATGCATTGATAGCAGTCATATCTTATTTATATTTCAACTTCGATTTGTGTTGACATCGATGAAATACTGTTTACAGTATGGTGCCGATTTTGGCACGGTCCTATTTTGGCATGATCCATTTTTGGCAACTTGTTTAGGGTAAAAGCTATGCTATTTTACGTTACAATGTTTATGTTTTAGTGATTTATATGGTTACTGTTTGTTTTAACAATGGTTTGGGATCATGAGTCCGTGGGCGAAAATCTCGTACATTTATTACTCTACTAGAAATAGCTGACAATCCCTTCAGGTTCAGTTCGAAGTGGGCTCGTTACTTTAAAATGAGGTATGGTATTAGATACTTGAAGATTTTTGGCGAGAAGCTGTCGACCCAACAATCAATTTGAACCGGTTAAAAGTTGAATAAGCCATTTATTAGCTCATGAAGCATATTTGCCTGAAATTGCTTTTATGCAGTTGTCGAATGTTTGATGGGGTGTAACTTAAGTAGTGTGAACCTATACAAAGAGGTGTTTTCGAGCATATGAAGGAGATAGTTAGTCAAAGCAAATATTGCCGGAAAATGTAAGACAATTTGTGTAGACCCAAAATAGATAATTTTACATCCAAAAAAACAATTTTAAATGAGGAACTTCGTATTACCAATTAAAGCATTGAACATAAAACTCAGCAGCCTCAAGTTTGGTGAGCATTCTAATTAAATAAAAAATCTATAACGTTACTTATGGATCAGGGTAGTATTACAAAATGCTGCAAAGTCCAAGGGGTAATCAACTCTGCACACTGTGCCGAAACACAGCATGGCAAACTGTTCGGCACGATAGAGCACATTTTTACAAGTAGGACACAAACAATATAATATAAAACGGCATCACTGCTGAGTGTAGACGTTTTGAAAATCGTTGCTAAGGTTGGCTACTCGGTTGAATACTTCTCAAAAGTGAAGCTAGTGAGAGAATATCAAGACCAACAATTGAAATGGCCTTAACTCCATTTTGTAAACCTTGTAAGGCCATTTTCTCGCGAAATTTTTGTTGTCATACGGCAGTCAAAACAGCTACAGCGGGTTGCCTCCAACGACCGACGGTTGGTCAAAACCTACCTATATGGTACAAACTGGTTGGATCCCGTGATCATGAAAATCAAAAACAAACCTGGAGACATTGAACGTTAGTTTATGCACGTTCGCAGTTGGGACGCAAATAAATATTAAGCCGCCTGTGGTGGAAATTTTGAAGAAGTCTGTTATCGTATCCACGAGGAATTGAGTAGGAAATTGTTTGTATATCCGACAAATTTTGGCTACGCTGGGGAATGCATTTTTGCTAAATATTTTGTCCCTCGAAGCGTACAACGAATTATCAGAGCATGATTTTCTGCTAGAGTTAAGGTACATTTACAAGTTTGTTATGCAGAATAATCAATAAATACAGCTTATCATAGAGGGCGGCCAGATTAGTATACCGGTCTTGTCAAGGATCATCCGGGATGGAAATTTTAACATTTTCCCTAGTATATTCTTGCCCGTCATTGGTCTCAATAGATATGGACTTTTATGGGATATCCATATCAAGAACATCCCCGTCACCAGATCCGGTCATTTTGCAGATGCATCTCAGTCATCATCCTTCTTTTGAACTAGCTCGTATCAAGGGAGCCCAGTGCGATGGGCGGCCTACCGATCGGTCAACTGTAAATTTTATTTGAGGCTTTATTAAAAACTGGCTCGAGGAACTTGCTCCTAGGTTGGGATTGAATTCTCGCCCATCACACTTCTGGGTTACTTTAGTCAGGAAGAATTTGACAGGGAGCAGGTGGCAAATTTCATCCATCATCAATCAGGTACGCCTTCGTTTCTGTACATCTGCAAGGAATCAGCAGTTCACCGGGACATCGAGCCGGAATCTGGTGGACGAGTTGAACTCCGTACAGATTTGATGGCTTCCACGTCCTCTGCCACCTCCCTTGCAGATCGAATTTAAGAATGTAAACGCAATAAAAAAAAGTCATAACTCTCGGGGTTGCCAAACTCATGGAATAGTGACACATTGATAGGCACACTTTGATTGAAACCTTGTTCGGCACAGGTTAATCACTCGGCATGGATTAAGGTATGCAGAGTTGAATACCCCTTGGCAAAGTCCCACTTGGTACCCAGTGCTGAGTCTTTTTCCGCTTCTGAATTTTATCGTTAATAAAGATATGTTGCGTAAAGCTACGGTTAAGGGCTACGATGAACTCGTTGTACTTCTCTTCGGTGCGGCAAGCGATGACCATATCGTCCACGTACATGACTAAATACGTGAATTGCTTGCCTCGACGTGGCACGTACAAACATGGATCATTTGCTGACTGTGTGAAACCAAGATGCTTCATTACGCCGTCCAGTTTCTTGTTCCAAACATGTCCCGCTTGTTTGAGGCCGTACAAGCTTTCCGGAAACAGACATACCGCATCCACACCACCAGCTTCGTAGCCTGGCGGTTGCCGCATGAAAATCGTTTCGTCCAGATCGCCGTGGAGATGGGCGGTCTTTACGTCCACATGTTTCACCAGCATGTTCCGTTCACTGGCAATCGTCAGCAGTGTCCTAAATGTTACCTGCAGCACCACCGGGGCGAACACTTTGTCGAAGTCCGTTCCATACTTCTGGGAAAATCCTTGCGCAACCAGACGCGCCTTGTACCGCACAATGTTGCCGTCCTCATCGAGTTTGCGCTTGAATATCCATTTATTGCCGACTGCTTTGCGGTCTGCGGGCAGTTTTGCTAGCTTCCAGGTACTATGTTCCTTCAACGATTTGATCTCTTCATCCATCTCCCTACGCCACTGTTCCGCCTCTGGCCCGTTCATTGCCTCAGCGAATGTCCTTGGTTCCGCCACAAGCCTGCGTGCCACATTCCAGTGGTTTCTGAATAACGAACCGGTATCTGTCCCCTCGTATTTCTGGTCGAACGCCGGAGTGGCGTTTCCACAGCTACATTATCGCTTTCGTATTCGTTGCCCTCATCGATGTTGAGTCATAGGACGAGGTATCTGACTCACACTCCTCCTGAACCGACTCGTCATCTTCGGATTCTTCTTCCTCTTCTGGAGTTTGTTGCGATACTTCAGACTCGTTTTCCACAATACTCGGTGACGGTGAACCCTCGTTTTCGATATCATCCTCCATTTCAACGAATCGAACATCACGACTGATTACGACCTTCTTCGTTGCTTTATCGATGAACCGGAACGCCGTGTGACACTCGGAATAATCGACGAATGTCAACTTTTCCGCCTTCGGTGCCAGCTTGCTTCGCTTCTCAGCAGGAACGTGAACGAACGCAATACAACCAAAAGTACAAAGAAAAAAATGTAATATCGATCAACGTAATTCAAGCTGATGTATGAAATAATTATGTAATAGCAAAAAGCAGATACAATATTACATCAATGGATGTAATTTTGTTCGCAAAATCGATGTACATCGTACAACGTAATATTACACAACCCGGTGGAATGATCTCTGTGCAGCTGTTTGGATGTAATATTCAACAACTTTTACTCCGTAATACGGTTTCCGTAATACGTAATACGGTTTCTTCCCAAACCAATGCTCGACAGATGTTTTCTCGATGGACTCCGCCCAGAACTGGTAGCCCATCTTTGCGTCGATTAGCATGCACCTAGCCATTTCGACAATCGACCGGTTTTTCCTCTCCGCGACTCCGTTTTGCTCCGATGCATATCCCGCCGTATACTGGGGTGCTATTCCATTCTCCCTGTAGAATCGTCCCAAACGCTTCGATTTATATTCGCCTCCCTGGTCCGAGTGAATAACCGTTGGATTTCTTCCGAATCGATTGTGCACCATACTCACGTAATCCTCTATTATTTCCGCAGCTTCCGACTTTCTCTTGAGGAAATGCACCATGGTGTATCGACTGAAATCGTCGATTATCTTAAGGAAATGTCGTGCACCGCCAGGCGATAGCGTGTTCATTGGACCGCAGATATTCGGGTGCACTATATCCAGGATCCTTGCTGATTGTCGATCGAGTTTTCTTGGGAACGGCAGTCGAGTAGCTTGCCTTCAGCACTTACATGTCTTGAACACTTCACACTTGTGGATGGTCACGCCCGTCGCCAAATTCTCACGCACAGCTCGCTGAATTGCTTCGGGATCACGATGACCTAACTTCCGATGCCAATGGTGGATGCAGCTCTTTTTGTGGTGTGACGCATTCATACCGCGCTCTTCCGAAAACTTCAACTGGTACAGCCCACCAATTTTCTTCGCTACGGCTGCTACGACTCCGTTACGTTGGATCACGCAACCAGAGAAAACAACCTCTGCTCCCTTGGCAACCAGTCTTCCAACAGAAATCAGGTTCGATTCCAAATTTGGAATGTAGTACACGTCGGACAGGATAACTTCTTGCTGTTCTCCTTCCTCGTTTTGGCAAAACAAGCGGCCAGATCCGATGCCTTTCACCAACGACTCGTTTCCATCGGCCAGCGTGATGGAAATCCCCGAGCTTGGCTTCCGCTCATTGAAAAACGAACGGTTGCAGCACATGTGGGGCGTTGCTCCAGAATCGACGATCCACACCTTCGATTTATTTTCGGTCGTAGTAGCCATAAACGCAAACGACTTTTCTTAGGCTTCGAATTGCTGCTTGCTCTTCCGACACCAGCTCTTGCCGCTGGGCATTCTCGCTTTATGTGTCCG